CTGTTGTTAGAGGCTGTCCCTGCAAGGTTGGAGGCAAGCTATTGGCATCCATAATTGTATCAGAGGTGGCTAATGCAGAGCCCCTGAAGGCCCATGACAGCTGGTTTTCTTCCCATTCCATGAAGTTGGGGCCCCCTGCAGCTACAAGTCTTTCAGGCCTTTAAATATGGTGCTGTCTACTTGACAGTCCTCCCCAGTAATAGGAAGAGACAGTGGTTTGGGTATGACTACATGAGAGACTGCCTCTCTCCTTGCAGTAGTTGAGATCAGCTGGGACATCTGAGTGAGTAGTTCCCTGGTATAAATAGGAGACAGCTGTTGGCAGAGTATTCTCAGTTTGGGGTCCTTCGCTCTAGAACTCACTTCCCTGACTTGGGCTTACATAGCCAGAGTTTGTGGACCTTCAGGACATGTTGCATTACAGGGCCATCATTTTAGAAAAAATTAGGAGAGATGGGGAAAGTTTGGTCAGCATTCTCACTTCATGGCTGCTCTTGGGGAATTAGAAGGCTGATCCCATCCTGGGGGTGTGGAGTGGAACGGGGAGGTGACGGGCTGGTCCTATGTCAGACATTGGGAGGAAGATGGGCTGAGGTGTGTGTGTGTGTGTGTGTGTCACTGATGGTTGGCACAGGACAGAGATTGGGGCCTGGCCCTCTCCAAGCTGAGCTCAAGCCCAGGGCGCCACCGCTGTTTCCTGTCCAGCCAGTGTGGAGAGGGAGTGGTGCTGACAACACAGTGATAAGGAGCTCTGGCCCAGCCTGCCCCACAGTGGCCCCCAGAGACCTGAGGGAGACACCTCATCACTGGCTAGCAAGGAGCTATGAAAAGTGAGGGGGAGGGACAAAACCAAGGTCTGGGGGCATAAGGCAAATGCCCCCTCTGCCCCATAGCAAATGACACCCCTATTGCACAGCCTGTATGCTCAGGCTTCTGGGTCAGGAGGGGTGAATTGATGTGATGCCAATGTTTTAACAAGGAACTCCCACAAAACTTTTTAGCTTGGGAACTTTTTAACTTGTTATAAAACTTGTGTCCTAGAGGGAAATGGAGAGACATTGGGAAACAATTTAATTTACTTTTGGGTTTAAATCAAAATGCTGTTTTTGTAACCACAGGAGGCAGCACCACTGGACAAACACAGTAAACTACATTCACTAGAAAATTCATAGTTGGTTCCTGAAAATATATAGACTAATATCATGCTGCTAGTATACCTTGGTGTTCATCTTGCATAATATGGAAAGGGACAAAACCTGCAAACTGTTGGACTTCAGTGGGAACCAAAGAGCCCAACAGCATACAGGACTGGGCCCTAAAATTATTGAAAAAAATATTTACATTATTTTCAAGACATTTAGAGCTTGTTGTATAATTCTTTGGCAATGTTTTGTCCTTCATTTTAGCCATTTCCCCATTATTTTAAGCACATCTCTCACTGGTGGTTACCAGCAACTTGATAGATGTATAGGAGAAAAAGGAAAGAGGTCAGCTATTCGTTATTGTATTCATAATCTATTGCAAAATGGACAAATGGGAAAATCAGTATTATTCCCCTAAATCAAGCTGATGCCCCCAGAACATAAAACTTTCTCAATCATTAAAACATTGCGCTTATAAAAAAGCCATCCTGGTGCTTCTATAGCAGTTCCAAAAGCTGCCGATTCCTAAGCAAACAGATAACTACGTTGTTGGTAGACTATTTGTCATTCCAGTTTAATAACAAATTGATGGACTCATTGTCTACTTCGCTTCTGCATTTGTCATGGTAACGTGTCTGTCTTCATCTGGATCCCTGACTCCACCTTATGGAAAGTTACACAGAAGAGCAGGATGGAAGCTGCTCTTCTGAGTCCCTGAAATTTACTGTTACCAAGGTGATGGGAGACAAAACAAACTGACAGCCTGGCTGTCTATATTCCTTCAGCTTCAGTAGCAAAAGTTAGAGGGACCCAAGCTTCTAACTTTTATGTCAAGGGAAATTGGTACAGGATCATGAAAAGAAGTTCATTCCATTGTGATTGTTGATCACTTAATGATCTGTAAAGTTCTCTGAATGCAACAGTAAGCCTGCCGAGGGGATTTCTTTTGCTATTAAAACCCTAGTGAATACAGAGTGAATGTCCTATTGTTTGGAAAGAATGGGTATATGTATTGCTTTTCAGGAGAGATGCCCCTTGTTTCCTCAAGGTGCAACAATTTACTATCATTTGAGATTATTTTTAATTATATTTTTATTCTGTATACATCAAATTCCCTTGTCATAAATATACAACTGCTTTTGATGAGTTTAAATGCCTTTGTACCTTACTTTTCAGCACTATCTGTAAAACTCTAAAATTCCATTTTCATTTTTGTTTCATTTTGAAATGCCACCACTGATCATTACCTAGTAGCAGGGACAGGTGTGGTGTCCCACCATCCCAAAATAAAATAAAAATTAACTGACTTGTTCACCATTCTCACACCTCCCTCTGCACTATCTGGTTTTTTTTTTATAAATAAATAGGGTAAACATGTGTCCCTAAAGAAAGGCATATCCCTGTTTTCAGGGCCGGTTCCATCAGTTTTTTTAATAGAAAACAGTGTTTTGTCCAATAGGCGCTGACTCCGTGGGTGCTCCACCCACTGGCGGCCCTGCCGAATAGCTCCTGCCCCTCCCTCCCAGCGCCTCCTGCCTGCCACGGATCAGCTGTTCAGTGGCATGCAGGAGGTGCTAGGGAGAAGGGGCGGAGTGAGGGCAGGGCACCCAGGGGAGGGGATGGAACAAGGTGGGAAGAGGCAGAGCAGGGGTGGGGTCTTGGGGGAAGGAGTGGAGTGGGGGCAGGGCCTGGGGGACAGAGAGGGGTCAAGCACCCCGGAGGAAATGCGGAAGCTGGCGCCTGTGTTTTGTCCTTACTTTGGTAAGTCGTGGCAGACTGCTCACTTGAAGGAGCTGACAGCCAGCTGAGCTGGTGAAATTAAAAGCAGCCTAGGTAGGCAGATAGGCATCCCCAGGTCTGTTATACAATAGCACCCTTCTTCATTCAGAACATGAAAACAAGAGCTTAGAGTGATGTATAACTTTGTATTACAATATTTATATCCTATTTAACTAATGCTTCCAAACAAAATTCTCCATGATATTATGGTGGTGTTTATCAGCTTGATAATCATAGCCTTTATTAATGTGGATGCATCCTAGCAATGGAGCATAATAAAGTCAAGAAGTTAGGTGTGCCAGTAACTCCTATCTTGTTTTTGTAAAACCCTCATGTGACGGGTATGGAGTCCATTGTATTAAAAATGCAAAGTTTATGTATTATTGTGAGATTGTACGTAACTTCTCTAGGGAGGAAACATGGCCAGTGTAAACCTTGGAAAATGTTATAAGCTTCAAAGAACTATACTGAACAATGGGCCAGACAAGAATGACAGAGTTAAGAGGGAATCTCTAGCGGGAGGTAAATACAAATTTATCCTGTTCTAGTTATGCCAAAGCTGTATAAAGTAGTGGTTCTCAACCAGGGGTATGTGTAACTCTGGGGGTATGGAGAGGTCTTCCAAGGGGTACATCAGCTCATTTAGATATTTGCCTAGTTTTACAACAGGCTACGTAAAAAGCACTAGCAAAGTCTGTACAAACTAAAATTTCATACAGACAATGACTTGTTGATACTGCTCTATACACTACACACTGAAATGTAAGTACAATATTTATATTCCAATTGATTTATTTTGTAAGCATATGTTAAAATGAGAAAGTAAGCAGTTGTTCAATAATAGTGAGCTGTGACCCTTTTGTATTTTTATGTCTGATTTTTGTAAGCAAGTAGTTTTTAAGTGAAGTGAAACTTGAGGACACACAAGACAAATAAAACTCCTGAAAGGGGTACAGTAGTCTGGAAAGGTTGAGAGCCACTGGTATAAGGAAAGACAGAGGGCATATCTACACTACAAACTTTTGCCAACACAAGTTATATTGGCGTAAAGCCACCACAGTTAGTATATTGCTTGTGCGCGTACATACTTGGCTTCTTGCATCGGCGCTGCTCATACTCACCAGGAGCGCTTGTGTTGATTCACAGAGAAGTGCACCATGAGTAGGTGCAACTTGCCACCATCCAATACACTATCTTTGGGAAGTTTTTTGCAATGCATGGTGAGGCAGAAACAAATCACACAGAGGTCACTGGGAGCAAATGGTCAACTTCCCAGCATGCAGCTTTCTCCCTCCCATACTGTTATCTGCATCCCACAATTTTCATGCCTTTGGAAAAAAATCCCATGAACCTGCATGACCCTCCTCACTGTCCACCGTCTCTGACAGAAGCATGGAGCCGGCACTACTCTGACAATTGTCATGAGCATTGCAAGCACAGGATGCAGGCGAGATTTATTTGAATTAGCCTCCTAACTGCTCTTGGCACTACATCTCAATTAATGATGCAATATATTTTGCTACATCTTTTCGTACTGGTGTTTCCAGGAGTCATAAGTGGTATAAACATGTTAAGAATACATATAATTATTTAGAGATATTTATGTTAACATGGAATCTTTCTTTTAAAGTAATGCTATGATTTGAATTTTGTTCTCTAGTTTATAAAAAACATTAGTTATACACTGAAAAAAACCATTTTAGAACATCCATTTCTAAGGAGACATTACAAGTGCTTGGAGGAGTATATAAAGAAACGTATAAAACTATTTCATTATAAATGTGTCAAGTATCAGGGGGTAGCCGTGTTAGTCTGTATCCACAAAAACAACAAGGAATCCAGTGGCACCTTAAGAAGTGAGGTTTTTTACCCACAAAAGCTTATGCCCAAATAAATCCGTTAGTCTTTAAGGTGCCACCAGACTCCTTGTTGTTTTCATGATAAATGATTACAGTGAGTTGCACCTGCTTTCACCAGATCTGAATTTTGTCCATATTCTTTAAACAGCAGACAGCTGACTGACTTTGCCATTATAAAAATAGTTTAGCTAAAAGCATATATTATTGTTTTTCATTGTAGGCTGGTAGTGACGGGGAAAGCATTGGAAATTGCCCATTTTCTCAGCGTCTCTTTATGATTCTGTGGCTGAAAGGCGTTATATTTAATGTAACAACTGTAGACTTGAAAAGGTAAGATTACAATATATATTTTCATTTTCAGAAGAACATTAGCAAAAATGATTATTTTAAAGAATGTATTGCTTGTGGCAACTTTGAAATACACATGCAAACTGACTGACATTATTTATATAGCTAATTGGTATTTTCATAGCTCTTTGTAGGCCAGATTTTTATCTGATTTAAACTGATGTAAAACAGTAATAATTCCACTGAAATCGATGGGGTTACCATGGTGTAAAATAGGTGTAAGTGAGAGGAGACTCATGCTCTATATGGTCAATGCATGAAACAGATATTAATTAATTAATACTAATGAATGCTCACAACATCTCTATGAGGCATGAGGTTACGTCTTACCTTTACAGAGAGGTAAGCTGAGATAGAAAAGGGGAAGTGATTTGTCCATGGTTACCCGGTAATTGCAAGGATAATTTAAACTATTTTATTTGCTTTAAATAATACCAGTATACTATTGCGAAGGTGGAACAGATTAGTACTACTAAGTATAGGAATTTAAAATGTCTCTCACTTAGCTACTTACCAAGGTGTTTGTACCCTTTTAGAAAACCTGCAGACTTACAGAATCTAGCCCCAGGAACAAACCCTCCCTTTATGACTTTTGATGGTGAAGTGAAAATTGATGTCAATAAGATCGAGGAGTTCCTAGAGGAAAAATTAACACCACCAAGGTACTGTGCTCTTGCGTGTCATATTTTGCTTTTAATCCTTCATACTGCCTTCACTGCACTCCCTGACAAAATACCCACTGGTTTCAATGACAGCAGGATCAGGTCCTTGGTTACTTTCCTGCCTCAAAAAATATGTATGAAATATATTAGAGTCTGATTCTACTCCGATTGAACTCAATGAGCGTTGCTGTTGACTCCACTGGAAGCAGAAGGGAGACCTAGCATAATGGTGTTGTTCCTGTGAGATCATGAGTGTTAGATGCTGATTGCTCGACTGCCAATGACTGAAGTTAATGGGAATTGACAGTGCTCAGCACCTCACAGGTTTGGACACAATTACTGTAAATTAAAGAAACTTTTTCAGTGTTAAAAAAATCTCTATTTAAATGTGCTCTTCCAGCAGTATTGTCTCTGGGCCAAATCATCAGCTGGTGTCAATTAGCACAGGTCCATTGATTTCAATGGAGCTATGCTGGTTTACACCAGCCGAGGATCTGGCTCTCTGCATGTGCTGTTAGTTAAGGGCAAGTCATCAGAAATTATTTGGTTTTACAGTCTATGCAATGGAGATTAACTACTGATTTGCTTTGTATAATGTGCAATAACTGTCTGCAATTTCAGTATCAAAATTTTCTTTTTCAAAGAGATGGCAAAAATAGCAGCTCCCTAGAGCTAATAAAGGGTCTGAGCCAACACCTACTGAAATCAGTGAAAAGACTCCCGTGCCAAGTTAAGTCAATAGGAACTGTCCTTTATAGCACTAATCAACTGATGATATCCTGCAAGTTTGTTATGCTGCAGACATGCCAACTCTCGTGAATTGATGGTGAGAGATGCAATTTCTAATTAAAATTAAGCCTGGCTCCCACTGCCAGACTGGGAAATAGGAGAGGGGATCCCACTGCAGCTCACCCTAGGCCTGGGGAAGGAGAAGACCCCTAAGAGGAGCAGAGGTAAGGCTGGTAGGGCTGAAATATGGCCTGGAGGCTGCAGGGGCACTGATTGTGTGTGTGTGTGCGCGCACGTGCATGTATTGATGGTGGGTTCTGAGCAGATGTGGTAAATGCTGGGTGGGCGAACTGAGTGCAGTGGGGGTCAATGGGGACTGAACTGATGGGCAGCTGATGGGGGTTGGGGGACTGAACTGAGGGGGGCTGAATTGAGGAGGGTTGGGTGAAGACAGAACTGATGGGGGGACTGGAGGACAGGATTAATTGTTGGGCAGGAGACAGACAGATGTGGAGGTAAGAGCTTCTGCAGCAGGGGCCAAACTCACAATATCCAGTACATGTGGGAGAGTGGGCAACACTTATTGTCACATGCACATACCCTGGTGAAGGGCGAGGTGGAGTTCAAAAATCAAGAGACTGACCTAAAACACCACAATATTATCTTTTTTTTTAAAAAATCTCATGATTATTGAGGGTCCGACTCACCATTTTTGATCTCTTGAAGTTAGCAATTATGTTCCTGAAAAATGCGACTTTAAGCGAAACGATGTTAAGCAAATCCAATTTCCCCATATGAATTAATGTAAATGGGGCGGGGGGGTTAGGTTCCAGGGCAATTTTTTCACCAGACAAAAAACTATATTATATATACACATATACACAGTATAAGTTTTAAACAAACAATTTAATACTGTTCACAGCAATGATGATTGTGAAGCTTGGTTGAGGTGGTGAAGTCAGAGGGTGGAAGAGGGTGGGATATTTCCCGGGGAATGCCTTACTGCTAAATGATGAACTAGAACAGCTGAGCCCTCAAGGGTTAACATGGTTGTTAATGTAGCCTCACGCTCTACAAGGCAGCACAAATGGAAGGAGGGGAGACAGCATGGCATACAGAGACTCTCACCTGTGTGTGTGAGACAAAGAGAGAGATGTGCATTGCCCCTTTAAGTACGCTGACCCCACTAAGTACACTGCCTTTTTAAGTAGATAAGCATGTTCAGACAGCCCCTGCTGCCAGCAAGCTCCCTCTGTCCTGAGCCCTGTCTTGTCTCCCACCTGCTCTATGGAGATAGGGTAAGTGGGGGGCAGGAGCAGGGGGGATGGGGACACCCTGACATTAGCCCCCCTCCTTCCCCCTCCCCCCTTGTACAGCAAGCAGGAGGCTCCTGGAGCAGCTCCAAGGCAGAGGGCAGGAGCAGCACTCGGCAGTGGTGGGCGGGATAGCTGAACTGCCCGGCAATTGATAGCCTGCTGGGAGGTTGCCGCACAGGGAACTTAGGGGAGCGGGGAGCTGATAGGGGGGCTGCCAGTCCACCCTGGTTCCAAGCCCCCACCACTAGCTCCAACGGGCTGCTCTTCCTGCAAACAGTGGACAAAGTAGGCAGCTGCCAAACAAAGTTATAAGGGAGCATTGCTCAACTTTAAACGAGTATGTTCTCTAATAGATCAGCAACGAAACAACATTAACCAGGACGACTTTAAGTGAGGAGTTACTGTACTGATGATGTCACTACAGTAATTCTCAAAGAGTGAAATTCACTCAAGTGCAGAGGGCTCATGCAAGGACCTCCACACCATTATAGTAACCTACTGTTTCTCTATGTTTGTGTTTTGAGATTTCCCTCATTTTCTTCAAGTTGTAAAATAATGAAAGTTGATGAGTAGTTATGGCAAGAAATAGAATTAAACTTCTGGATACTAGGAGTAATTGAAAAACATTTGACACAGTATTTATTTTATATGGTCTAAGTGGTTTCCATTTTAGGAATGTTTCCTATGAAAAATACTTAGCCATACTTTGTTCGCGATGGGGTGGAATAAACTGCTGTTCATATAATACAGAAGTAGCTGAATGTCATAAAAGAAGCTAATTGTATGACATCCTTGTATTTTTAATTCCTCAGATACCCCAAACTTGGGCCAAAGCACCCCGAATCTAATTCTGCAGGAAATGATGTGTTTGCAAAATTCTCTGCTTTCATAAAGAACACAAGAAAAGATGCTAATGAAAGTAAGTACCTGCAATCTCTGCATCATTACCATTGATAACTGGAATGAGTTGGAGTTACATAATTACAGCATAAAGTTTTCCACTAATGTATTTGCACTAAGGACTCATTCTAAGCAAAAGCTATCTATGGCTTTCCAGGACATGGAAGCTCTGGAAAGCTACAGATCCTGATTCTAGAGGAGGGTAATCTGTTCAAGAGAAAGACCAACACATATGCACTATGGTGAAAGGAAGAATTAGTAGTTTGTTGTTTTTGTCAACAAACTTCCCCATATCACAATGGCTTGGCTGAACAGTACACCTCTACCCCGATATAATCCTGTCCTCGGGAGCCAAAAAATCTTACCGCGTTATAGGTGAAACCGCGTTAAATCGAACTGGCTTTGATCCGCCGGAGTGTGCAGCCCTGCCCCCCCGGAGCACTGCTTTACCGCGTTATATCCGAATTCGTGTTATATCGGGTCACGTTATATTGGGGTAGAGGTGTATTTAAGGCCCTGATCCTGCAAATGCTTAACTTGCTGAAGGTGAGTAGTTCCACTGACTTCAATAAAACTACTCATGTCCAAAAAGCTAGGCATGTTCCTAAGAATTTGCAGGATCAGACCTATGAATGGAATACAAAAAAGCAAATGCTTTTTTCTTCAACTTAAAAGAAGTGGTATAAATTTAATGAAATGAACATACTAAGTAAGTATATATAATGTGACGGGGCAAGGCCAGATGGCTATAGAAAAATAGTGGGAGACAGATAAATTAGCCCCAGGCTAAACAAATCCCTGTTATCGGGATAAATAAATGGCAGCTGCTCCAGGTCAATTAAGACACCTGGGGCCAATTAAGATCTTTCCAGAAGGCAGGGAGGATGCTAGGTTGATTGGGACACCTGAAGCCAATTAGGGGCTGGGTGAAAGAGAACAGTTTTTGGAAATGCTGCCCTAGTGCTTCATAAGATTTGTATTTCAGGTGCTTCATGACCCCTTTCTCCTTTTATAGGCTGGGCTTCGTGGTCAGACTACATCTCCCTTGATGGACTGTGGTCTTCCTTCTTGGAATTCATGTGAACTCTTGCCCATACTCTGTTATTGGAGAGGTAGTCTGCCTGGGTAGCCTGGCTAGGGTGACCAGATTTTATCGGGACTGTCCTGATATTTCCTTGTTTGTCCCGCGTCCCGACTGATGTGCGGTCGGGACACTGGACAAACAAAGAAATGCTCCGGAGCCCGGAAGTGCTCGCGCCCCTCCCCCCCTCCCCCGCCCTGACTCCACCCCCTCTTTTCCCCCATTGGCTCCCTCCCCAAATCCCCACCTCTTCCCCAGGCTCACCATTCCTCCTCCCTCCACAAGCGCTGGAGGGAGGCTCCGGAGACGCAGGGGGAGCGGGGTGCTCTGAGTGAGAGTCCGGCCTGGCCCCAGTGCAGGCAGGACTCAGTTGGGCGGTAAGAAGAGTAGGGGGCCGGCCCGCGGCGCCAAGCGGTGGCTGTTCTCCACCCCTGGGCAGCAGGACTCGGGAGCAGCCACTGCCGCAGCTCCCACTGCCGCGGGGGGAGGAAGCGGCCGATGGCCAAGTTCGGCGGCTGCGGCTCTGGCGCCCGGGCCCAAATCCCCCGAGCCTGGGCTTGTTGTGGGGACCCAGCAGCGCGCACGCTGCGCCCAGCCCCTGGCCAGTCGCGTCTGTGCTGCTGCCCAGCTGGTGCTATCCCGAGGCGGCCCCGTGGCAGAGGCATCGGCAGCGCAGGCCCATTCGTTCCCCTGCTGCCCCCACTCCGGGGCCGCCACGGGATTGCACCAGCTGGGCAGCAGCCCAGAAGCGACTGGCCAGGGGCTGAGCACAGCGTGTGCGCTGCTGGGTCCCCACAGCAGGCCCGGGCTTGGGCACCAGAGCCGCAGCCGCCGAGCTTGGCCATCGGCCGCTTCCTCCCCCCCTGGCAGTGGGAGCTGCAGCAGCGGCTGCTCCCGAGTCCTGCTGCCCGGGTGGGGGGGAGAACAGCCACCGTCTGTTCCCGTGGGCCGCCCCCCTACTCTCCCTACCGCCCGACTGAGTCCTGCCTGCTCGGGGCCAGGCCGGACTCTCTCTCATCCTGGCCCCGCGCTTCCCCTGCATCTCCCGGGCCTCCCTCCAGCGCTTGTGGAGGAAGGGTGGGTTTTTTGGGGGGGTTTTTTGCCCCCCCCCCCCCCCCCCCCCCCCCCG